AGGGTATATTCCCAGTAGTGGAATTGCTGGGTCAAATGGTATCTTTATTTGCAACTTTTTGAGAAAGCGCCACAGTGCTTTCCACAGTGATTGCACCATTTTACACTCCCACCAACAGTGAATAAGGGTTCCAGTCTCTCCACAACCTCGCCAGCATTTGTTGCTTGCTGTTCTGTTAAATAAAATTCAATGACTTTTTAAAAGTAGATTTAAAGTTATATATCACTATAAATTAGTTTTGAAAGGTTTCATCACCTCAGTATGATCCTTTATGCCTGTTATTGTTATTTGCCATTGAGTCACTTGCTACTACTCATAGCAACCCTATGCACAGTAGCTCTGAACGCTGCCCTGTCCTGAGCCAGTCTCACTGTCTCTGACACACCTATCCTCATTACCCCACTTACTGTAGTAGTCCATCTCCTCCAGGATCTTCCTCTCTTGCACTGTGCCTCCACCCTTCCAAGCTTGATGTCCTTCTCCAAGGATTGGTCCCTCTGGGCAGCATGCCCAAAGTATGTGAGAAGGAGCTTCAAAATCCTTGTTTCCAAGGAGCAACTTGCCTCTTAATGGTTAATTCTCATTCTTCCTGCCCAGGAAAAATCACCAAGCTACTTTCCTTCTTTGTAAATTTGTGGGTTTTTTTTCTGGATATTTTATATAAATTGGATCCTATGATACATAATCTTTTGTTTTTGACTTCTCTCAATTAGCATTTAGTTTTTGAGATTCATCTATGTCTTGCGATATGTTAGCATTTTGTTCCATTTAGTTGCAGAATATTACTACCATTATATGGATATATGAGGTGGTGACTTTGCTTTTGTTCCTTTGGGCCTGGTAATTTTTTTATACCGTATCAGAATTGTTTTTCATAAACAAAATTTGCCCCTCAGATCTGCAGGGTTATGCTACTGCATATTGACTCTGTTTAGTTGTATTTCAAAGTAGGAATTCTAGTGTGTAAGGCTTTAGAGAACTTGGGATTTGCAAGGCACCTGCCATAGAATTTTAATTGTTTGTATCTTTTTTTCAGAGAGGCTGTGATAGCTATATGGTTTATTTGTTTGATAAAAGTAAGACTGTATATGAAGGGCCATTTGCTTCCAGAAGTTTATCTGACTGTGTAAATTATATTGGTAAGTATGGTCCATTTACTGATTATATTGACTTTAACATATTATAGGCAGCTCCTAGGTCACAATCTCTGACTTATAGACAACCCCTTGCCTTTAAATGTTATGCAGATTTGCCCTTATTTTGAAATGATTGCCAGAACACTGATGGTATAATGGTTAAAGAATTTGGCTGCTAACCAGATTCTTCACCTACTTGGAAGAAGACAAGCCATTCTGCTTTTGTAAGGATGTGCATAGCATCTTAGAAACCCCATGGCCAGGTCCACTTTTACAGGTTGCTATGAGTCAGAATTGACTCGATGGCAGTGAATTTTGGTTTTGAAACAACCCTTGCTTACAACAAATTCTTCATCACAGCTACTTTCACTTGCTACACATGCAGCTTTTAAATCATTAAAGCGGTTTGAGCCTTTTTTACACTAAAGAGAGCCCAAATAAGAACTTTGGGTACCTGGTTTGATTTACCTACAAATTCTTAAAGGTACAGTTAGGAAAGATTATTACTTATTACTGGAAGACTGTCTTAGTAAGAGTGGACTTTGGTGTTCGTGGTCTGTATTTTGCCTTCTTTTCATTTTCTGTATGTGGGAAAATTAGATGAAGGATCTTGAAGTATATTTTCTGGGTCCTTCTCTTGAGAAAGTACTTATTTTTCTGAGGGTAGCGCTCTTAACAGATAAAGAATATGACTCTACTATCCGTGAAATAATGAGAGTTGTGTGTTTTTGTTTGTTTTTAATGTTTTTTATACTATTCCATACAAACAAAATTCCTAAACAAAATTTAAGTTGAATGCTTGCTCAATTTGTGTCCAGCCAAGATTAAAAGAAATTATTTCTCCCCGCCCCCCCCAAAAAAAAAAGAAAGAAATTATTTCCCAAAATTTGAGCATAGCAAATACAATATATATCATTTTTCCTTTGTGTTACTTATTTGATGGTTTTCTTTTAGATAAAAAAATAAGTTATAGCTTACAGTGAAATCCACAGATCTTACAGTTTGATGTTTTTTGACAAATATGTAAACTGATGGAACTAATGCAATCCAGAACATCTTCTTCACCTTAGAAAGTTGCCTCATATCTCTTGTCTGTCCTCTCTTCCCTAGATTATGGTTGGTTGTTTACTAGTTGTTGTTGGGCACTGTTGAGTTGGATTGCATGGGAGAGATTGCCCATGTTTCTCCCACAGAGCGGCTGGTGAATTCTAACTGCATGCCTTTGTGTATTATAGCGTTCTTAAAAATGACAGTGTATGTAAGTAACATATTATTACTCATTGCCATGGAATCAGACAGACTCATAGGTGACTCTCCCTCAGGTTTCTAAAGCTTTAAATTGCATGAGAGGAGATTGCCTATCTTTCTCCCTCATAGCCCCTGGGGAATTTGAACTGCCAGAAAGGCTCAGCCTTTGGGTTAGCAGCACAACCCATGGACTTCTCCACTAGAGTTCCCTTTGAGGATATAGAAACACACACACACACAGGAAGCAAACATTTGTCATTTCACCTTTATACACGTGCAGTAAGATTAATTATATTTATCAAGTTGTGTAACCATTACCTATTTCCAACATTTTTCATCACTCTTAATAGAGACTCAGTGTTCCTTAAGCAATAATGCCCTTGTCCCCTCTTGGTACCGTGGTTAAACTTTGATATTTATGTACTCGCCTGTTCTAAATGTTATGTGAGATTATATAATATTTACCCTTTTGAGGTTAGCTTATTTTACTCAGCATAATATTGTCAAAGCTTGTACATCTTACAGCATGTGTATGGCAGAACAATAGTCCCTTGCTTGATGTACCATATTTATTTTGTTTACCTGTTCTTCTGCTGATTGGAATTTGGATTATGTTTACCTCTTAATTATTGGGAACAGTGCTGCTGCTGAGCATTGATGTCTTAATAGAACTTTTTTTTTCAGCATAGACATAGATTTATCTGAGAGACATGCTTTTGTAGGGTAAGTTCAGGGATAGGAATGGCGTTTCTAATGCAAATCTTAATAGACTTTAAAGGTAACAGTTTTGTATTTACAGAGAAATGAAGCAAGTACTTAGTTCTTACATTCCTTACCCCCTCCCACACACATTCACATAGTTGCCCTAGTCTTAATATCTTACTACAGTGTATTTTTTATAATTAATGAACAGATATTGATTATATTACTAATTAAAATTCATCATTTATCTTGATTTCCTTAGCTTTTGCCTAATACCGTTTTCCATTCCAAGATCCCACCTACATTTTATTGCCATGTCTTCCTAGAGTTTTCTGTGTTTTAATAGTTTCTCAAGCTTTCCTTGATTTTGATGACTTTCACGGTTTTATAAAGTACTGGTCAGATATATTTAGGATGATCCTCTGTTGAAATTTTTCTTTTCCCCTCCTTTCATGTTTGGGCTGAGATAATAGGTTTTTGAGAGAAAAACCTAGAGGTAAAGTACTGTTTCCATCCTCTATCAAAGGTTGTTACTGGGTACCGTTGAGTGACCCTGAGGCAGAGTAGGACTGCTTCCACAGGATTTCACAGGTTGTGAGTCTTTATAAAGGAGATTGCTAGGTCTTTTCTCCTAGAGAGCCACTGGTGGATTTCAGTCATTAGCCTTTTGATGAAATAGCCAGGTGCCTAACCATTGCACTGTTTGTTCATTACCATTGAGTCAGAATCAATTCATAGCAGATCCTTCAACGGGTTTTCTTTTCTTTTTTTTTTTTATTAATTTTAATGAAAGTTTACAGAGATTTATGGTTTCCATTCATTCATTGTGGCACTTTTCTCCCTGCCCACCCCTCCCCCCAGTTCTCTCTTCTTGAAGAGTAAAAGAAAAACTCTCATTCTTATGCAGTCGCACCCCCCCAAGTCCACTCCACTGTGCAGCCTTCATTCTGGACTCCTGTCATGACAATAATACCCAATCATATATCCCTTCTAAACAGTTCTCTCCCTCATCTGTGTCAGTGCAGTATATACATCATTCATCCCCTCCTTCTCTGTCTTCCCTGATGTCAGTCCTGTTTTACAACAGTAGCCCTATGCAATATTTGTCCTTTTGTGACTGAGATATTTCACTCAGCATGATGTCCTCCAGGGTCACCCATTTTGTATAATATTTCATGAGTTCCTTGTTTTTCAAAGCAGCGTAGTATTCCCTTGTGTGAATATACCACAGCTTCTCTATCCATTCGTTTGTTGATGGGCACTTGGGTTGTTTCCAGCTCTTTGCTATTGCGAACAAAGCCACAATAAACATGGATGTGCATCAATGGGTTTTCTAAGGCTTATTTTGTTGAATAAAAAATGAATTTACTCTGTAAACTTTCATGCGAAGCACAATAAAATGAAAAGTAACTTCCCTTTTTCTCATTTCTTGTATATAGTACAGGACAGCAAAATACAGCTACCAATTATACAGCTGCGTAAAGTGTGGGCTGAAGCAGTGCATTATGTTTCTGGGTTAAAAGAAGATTACAGCAGACTCTTTCAGGGACAAAGAGCAGCAATGTAAGAAGATTCTGTTATTTATAACTACTGCCTTGTACTCGTGTCGAGGAATTAATGTTGCCAGTTTTTACTAATTGTTATTCTATAGTTTTTAAAATTTGGGCCAGATTGCATGTTCTGTGTGACTTATAAAATTCTTTCTAATAGTGTATTAAAACCATCCAAAGGCAATGAATAAAAAATAGAATGATTCTAGTATTAAAAAATTACTTTATCATAGATTGTCTAATTGAGACTGCTCATTACAGAGACTAGATTTTAGAGATTGACTACTTCTTGTAAATTGATAATAGGAATAAGATTTTCTGGTCTGGAAAACAATGTATTAGAATTTTGCAAATAAACTAGTATAATTTTTTAAAAAGTCTGGATATCTTGTTTAAACATATGTTTAACCAAAAATATTAAAAATTAAAACTCTTGGTGAGCTCTGGTGTCCTAGTGGCAAGAAGCTGCACTGCAATCCCAGAGGTACACTGTTCAAATCCACTAGATGTTCTTTTGGAGAAGGAGGGACAATCCCCTCCTGTACCAGTCAGATCTGATTTGACGGTACACACAAATAAATAATAAAATATAAGAAAAAAATTAAAATTCTTGTCCATTGTTTTGTTTCTGATAAAATGATAATTTTTGTTTTTGTCTTCTGTCTATGGCTTAGGTTAAGTCTTCTTAGATATAATGCTAACTTGACAAAAATGAAGAACACTTTGATCTCAGCATCTCAGCAACTGAAAGCTAAACTAGAGTTTTTTCACAAAAGCATCCAGCTTGACTTGGAGCGATACAGCGAGCAGATGACTTATGGAATATGTAAGTATTGGGTACTGTGTTTGGAAAGAGTCTGTAGGCTCTGGAAGCCAGCAGCTGTTGGCCTTTTTGACTTGTTGGTTATTTTATTTATTGAGCTGTTCACATTGAAAGAAGACAGATCTCACATCATCACAGACCATATTTATTTGTGTCTTAAATGTCAGCTCTACCTTTTTTTAAACTCTTAATTGAGCACCTTTAAATGGATTTTTTTCCATAATTGAACTAAAATTATTTAGCTCCAGAAAAAATGTAGAAGTGATTTGAGAATCTTGTGTATATGAAACCTCATTTTAAAAATAGATACAAAGTCTGTACTAGAATGACTTCTTAGCCAGAGGAGTCTTAAAAGTACCTTTTTTGTAATAAATAAATTATTCTGGAGTTAACGTTTCTTTCTTTCTGAACCACTTATTTTTTTATTGTATACAGCTTCTACTTTGCCAGTATTTGACTCAAGGCTGTCTCCCTTCAGATATGCTAAGGAAATATAAAAAAATAGAGTTAAAAGCTGAAGAAACAAAAGATGTCATCACTAGCTTTCTGTTCCATTTCATGAAACAAATCCTTTTTGGGGGAAACAAATACTTTTGTTTACTTGTCCTAAGCCGGATATGTGTGTCTCAGAATAAAAGATCAGTAAATATCCACTTAGATGCTTAGGGCTTATCCAATAGAGCTGATTTTATGTTTGATATTTTCTTTCATTAAATAGCTTTGACTAGGCATATATTGCTTTATAAGATGACCTGCATCTTTAATTATTATGATGTTTAAATGAGGAGAAAAAGCAAGGAAAGAAAAGTATGTTCATGGTTTCACTTTTGAAGGAAAAAATTATATGTGTGTATGTAATAAATTATCAACAGCAAGACAGAGAGAAAATTTTTTAAATTTTTTTTTTAGTATTTGTATTTTTTTTATAAGTTATGCTTATGTACTTTATTAAAAATGAAAATCTTTGATGTTGATAGGATAAAGAGATAGGTAGACTGGTAATTAAAACTATGATTATTTCTGGTAACCGATTCAGACTTTTTTCACTTCAGCCTCAGAAAAGATGTTAAAAGCATGGAAGGAAATGGAAGAAAAGGCCATCCACTATGCTGAGGTAAAACTGCTAAGCTCATTCTGTTGTTCTGTTAAATTCTGAAGTCTCTCTTGGATATTTCCTTTGATTTGAACAGGTATCTAATAGATGTATTGTGCATATGAGGGTGCTGCCACAGTAGGTAAAAACAATGGGCTCAGGTATATCAGAGATGGTGAGGCTGGAAGTAAATAAGGGAGGGTTCAGACCCTTTGTTCATAGGGTCACTGTGAGTTGTAGTTGACTTAGTGGCATATAACAATGAAAATAACCATAATAGATAATAAAAAGGGCTTTAAAATAAGATGTGGGGCAAAGTGCTTAGTCTCCTTGGGCTTTCATTTACTGATTACATTATGAGCACAATTCTTTCATAGTAGAGTTATAAATATTAAATGAGACTCAATAACGAATGGTAACTTGCTAGTATTTCTGGCTGGCTTATTAGGAAGATTGCAGAGTCTGCAGTACCTTGGATAGTTCTCATTTAGTTCTGATGTTTTCCCATAATCATCAGTAATGATCTTTTTCACTCAAAATTGGGCTGATTTGAACACTCAGTTGCGTGGTCATTGTATCTATAAGTTGGAGGGATTTTTTTTTATTCATTCATTGTCACACATTTGCAGAAGTTACTCTTTAGGTAAGAGATTTCTGCATCCCCGTCTTCATGATAGGTCCCTTAGGTTATTGACGTTCCTGATGCCAGTCACTTACCCTGCTTCTTCTGGTTAAGTTGAGGACATGAGTGAAACCTTGAATATCTAGAGTGGGAAATCCAGTTATCTTTGTCTTTGTCTTTCTGTGTCCTATTCAAAGCCATCAAGAGTAAAATACAGTGAAAAATCATAAAGTTGAAATGCAGGTAATACTAGTGGTTTTGGTGTCTTGTTAGTGATACTTTTATTTCTTTGCTTTTCAGGAGTAGAAAGCAAATACTAGTTGTTCTTTTCAGAGGAGAAAACAAGGAAGCATAGGAATAAACCCATCCCTTGTCTGTCAGTTTGGGGTACTGTGGTGGCTTGTGTCTTAATGTGATGAGGGAAACTATTCACTGGTATTTCAAATACTAGTAGAGTCACGAATGGTGGATGCATTTCAGCAGACCTTCTAGACTGAGATAAAATAGGAAGTAAGACTTGGCGATCTGTTTTTAGATTTGCAGTAAAAACCTTCTAAGTAGCATGAGACTATTGTGTGATATAGTGCTGGAAGGCCCTTCAGATTGAAAGCCACTCAATATACAACTGGGGAAAAGTTGACCTACTATAGAGATGATTTTAATGACATGGATGAAGTAAAGTTTTGAGCAAATGCTTTCATTTGCTGGTATTGGGTGATTGAAAATGAAGAACCAACTGCAAACATCTCTTAGTAATCAGCATATGGTATGAACAGAATGTGAATCTAGGGAAATCATAACATCATACAAAATGAAATTAAAAGAGTCTTTATAGAGAAGTGACACTGAAAATGAAGAAGGAAACCACTACCCTTCAAACTGAAGCCAATGCAGAGGTGTTGAAGGTTAAGAAGGGGGTGCAGAAAGGCATCTACAGCCACCAAAAGTAAAAAAAAAGGAAACAAAACAAGGTTTGCACATCACCCAGTCTTCAGTGGCCCAAGGCACTTCAGTCTGAAGGCAACCCAAAGAGCCTTGGAATGATGACCACAGTTGAAGTTAGCTTAACTACTACAGGGTCAGCTGTCAACTACCACTGAGTCAGCGGTGAAAATCAAGGATAACAGTTCACTTACACTCACTGTAAATACCAAGGCCAACCAGCATCAGATCAAACAGACTGCAGAGAAGCTCTATGGAAGTGACCTAACCAAGGTCAACATCTTAATCAGCCTGCTGGAAAGAAGACTTATGTTCATCTGTCTCCTGCCTGTGTTGCTCTGGATGCTGCCAACAAAATTTGTGTCATTTAAGCTGAGTCTGTTTGCTAATTCTAAACAAAAATTTTCATCACACACACATGAAGAAGAAAATAAATAGAATGCATAGAATGTCTAATGATTAGGCATTAGGTGTGCTTCAGGCCTGTGTCCTTTAGCTGTATTTATTCAGGCTGTCCTTGCCCCTGAGGAGCACCCTGATTATACTTCCTCCAAGACAGATCTATTTCTTCAGCTCCTTAAATGCAAAGATGGTGAAACTTTGTCTCACGTATTTTGAATATCTTATCAAGAGAGACTAGTTGTTGGAAGAAAATATCATGGTGGGAAAGGTGGAGGGACAGAGGCAGAATGATACTAAGTGAGATAGATTGAAACAGTGACTATAACATTTTGCATGGTAGAAATCATGAGGATGGTCCAGGATAAAGCAAGATTCTGATCTGTTGGTCATAAATTGCTATGAATTACAATTGACTCAACAGCAACTAACAGCAACATTCAAGCTGTATACTGAGTAAATAATTTGATAAACTGGCCTATGTGAAGAAGAATGAGGCATTAGGATTGGAGGAAGATTAGTTAACAACCTGTGGTACATAAGGTATGTGGTCTTTCTTCTGAAAGTAAAGAGGACTTGAAGTACTTGCTGATAATGACTACACAATCGGTGTTCAGCCCATCTCAACCTAAAACAAAAATCCTCACAACTGGACCAGTAAGCAGGATCATGATAAATGGAGAAAAAACTGAAGATCTCAAGGATTTCATTTTACTTGGATCCACAGTCAGCACCCACGCAAACAGTAGTCACAAAAGAACGTGGCAGGCAGTGTGCTACAAAAGACCTCTTCATAGTGTTAGAAGCAAAGATACCATTTTGAGGACCAAGTTGCACCTGACCCGAGCAGTGGTATTTTAAATAATTTTCCTGAGTCATCTTTCTACCTTCAAAAGCTGTACAATGAGTAAAGACCATTAAGAAGCTTTGTAAAATTGCAGTTACGGTGATAGTGAAGAACTGTGGGCTGCCAGAAAAACAAGCATATCTGTCTCAGAAGTAGATCTATAATGCTCCTTAGAACCAAGGACGGCTAGAATTATTTCACATACTTTGGACATGTTATCAAGGAGGGACCAATCCCTGGAGATGGATATCATGCATGGTAAAGTATAGGACCAGTGAAAAAGAAGTTCTTCAATGACTGTACAGTGCTCTCAGATATAGTGATTGTGAGACTGGTGCAGGACCTCCAGGCTTTAGTTCTGTTGTACATGAAGTTATCATCATGTTGTACATGAGGTTGTACATGGGGAAACCAACTCTGACACCTAACAACAACAGGTGTTTTTATGTTTGAAAAGTATGGTTTTATGTGAAATAGGATTAGAATCTGAAATATTAGAAGTCTTTAACAAAGTATTTCAAATTAACTCACTTCTAAAGAAGCAAGTCATTCTCTCTTCTTAATGTCTCCATTCTCTTCTGTGTTGTGTGATGACGAGCCTGCCATCTGTCTTGTTTTCTGCCCTGTCTCAGGTTGGTGTCATTGGCTACCTGGAGGATCAGATTATGTCGTTGCACACTGAAATCATGGAGCTGCAGAAGAGCCCCTATGGAAGGCGTCAGGGGGACTTGATGGAGTCTCTGTAAGGCTTTACTTGTCTTGTTGGTCTTGGTGTGTGCAGTTTTGGTAGCACATTGTTCTTTCTGCTTAAATCCTGCAGATAAAGCCTCTTACACATCTTTGTCATTTTCCTTTCCCCAAATATTTTGGCATTTTATTTTAAAAAGAATGCTTTTTCCCTTTGTCGCAGAAATTTGTAACTAATGCTATGGATTGATCCTCTTTGCCTTTTAAATCAAGTTATCTTTTTATGTGAAGTGTCAAGATTCATTTCCCAAGTATGCTAAGTTATAAACTATTTCTCTCCCTTCCATACTTCTGGTCCAAGGTATTACTTTTTCAATGTCTTGAATGGAATTTAGGGAGCTTTGGTGGTGTAGTCTGTAGGGAGTTGTGCTACCCACCTAAAGGTGGCCTAGTCGAGTCCATGGGCTGCTCTGAGGTAGTAAGATGAACAGTTTCCTCCTGTGCAGTTTACAGCCTCTGAAAACTCACTGGAGGGTCAGCTAAATGGCAGTGAGTTTAAAAGGCATTTACTTCCTAATTGTTGAGAAAGTTGAGATTTTTTTCCCCTCTAATTACAGGCCGTGATTTTTGGCTATTAAGAGATCAAAACACATATGAAGTTCATTCAGCTTTCATTTTAAAAACTTAGGTCATCCTTTCTTGTTACTCAGTGAAATATTTTAAAATCTCCCTTGGCAATATATGCTTGCTTTAAAATGACATTATTCAAGTTGTGAGTTAATAGGCTCATTGAATTGCCTTTCTGTACAGACTCATGTTTTCTCTTTTATAGGGAGCAGCATGCCATTGATTTATATAAGCAGTTAAAGCACAGACCTTCAGGTAAGAGGCTTTTACCCCTATACTAAAAGGCTTTTAGGCAAATTAGCAAAATCAGGATTTTAATCAAGTTGCATAATAAATTCATTGTTTATGTTTCCATTGTAACATTTATTGTACAAGTAAATTTGGACCTTTTAAGAGATTAGAAAGAGGAGCTAATTAAGAAACTTGAAGTAGAAAAAAAATTTTAAAGTTAAAAAAAAGAATAAAAGAAGGAATTCAAAGTGGAAGAGAAAACAAGTAAATGTATAGAAAGATAAAAACTAAGTGCTAATAGATACTTTGAACTGTTGAAGGTTAGAGAGATTGGAAAGAATGTGATGTTCTAGGCTCAGGTGTGGAACACAGTCAAAAGGAGCATTTGGGTCTTTACTCCACCTTTACTAACTTGAAAGCTGCACCTTCATCTGTATTAGCCACTGGTTGCTTGTTTCTTTAGGAAAACTATTCCTTTTGAGCACCTGCAGAGTGTAGAACTTGGTCTGCCGGAAAGAGTATTGGGTTACAAATCAGAAGACTTTTTAATTTGAGCATTTTGCTGGCTAAGTGACCTCAGGAAAATCACCTTATCTCATTTCTCTCTTCTAGGAAATGAGGTTGAAATGTGGATTTTTAAACTCATAGCATTTTAAATAATATTTGCGAAAATCATTTGAAAACTAACAGTACTGTGTATCTGCAGGGAATTAAATTGATTTGTGGGAGCTCTGGTGGCCTAGAAGTAAGAAGCTGCACTGCAATCCCGAAGGCATGCAGTTTGAATCCACCAGATGTTCTGCTAGCAAAGGAAGGGAAATCTCCTCTTGTGCCAGTCAGATCCGATTCAGTGGTACACAACAAGAAAAGGGGGGGGGGAAATTGATTTGTGTTGAAGGGTTACAAGAAATAAAAGATGCCATCTTTGCTCCAAGTCCTATATATTCTTAAGCAACAGAAATGGGTCCTTACGTGTCATGAAGTGTAAGGATGGCACAGGATAGAACGGGATTCAGATCTTTTGTTCTTTGATCGCTATGAGTTGTACTCGATGGCACCTAACAACAACAACAACAACACAACATGGCAAAAACATGCAAATTTGTAACATAATTGTATTTAATGATAAATGATCTTCTCTATACTGGGAGCTCTGGTGGCATGGCCTGTAGTTAGTGGTGCTGATGATTCAAAGACTGTATGTTTCTGGTGATTCGAATCCACCAGTGGCTACTCGAGAAAGATGGCCAGTCTCCTCCCATTGCCTCAGAAACCTTGAAGGAGAGTTGCTGTGAGTCAGAACTGACTTGATGACAATGAATTTCAAGTTTCTGTATGTTTTTATTGTAGTGGAATTTGCTCAGTTATTCCCTCCAACAGTTATAAGGTACGCATAAGAAAGATACCTAACCCTGAATGGATGGATGATTAGAGGAGCTTTATTGCAGGAAATGATATCTCAGATTAGCCTGGCCAAAGGAGGTGAATACTATGATAAGAACATGCAGCACTTAACATGTTAGAAAAAAATCAGTGTTACTAAAGTATATGGTTTTAGGGAGTGAGAGAGATGGAGCTGGATCATGATGAAATCTTATGTGTCATAGTAAAGAATTTAGGTTCCATCATGATGACAAAGAGAAAACCTAATAGTGAACATCTTGCTCAGATTTCCACATGAGAAACACTGCCTTTCTGCTGTTGGAATTTAAAGTGGGACTAGGCTAGAGAGACAGTGTCATCAGTTAAGGATAGTTGAAATAGTTGCGCTTAGTCCAGGGTGGGTCATGAACTAAGAACCTGAACAATGGCTGTAGAGTGACAAGGAAGGTAAAGGCAAGGGAAAGTATTTCGGAGGTAGAACTGATTCTCTTGGGTGATAGAGTGAATATGGATAAGTAGAGTGAGAGTGACTTGAATGCCTCTCAAGTCTCTGTTAATGGTAGTTAACAGTAGTATATTGAGTAAGAAAACCAAGGATGGATTCCTAGGGAACACTTAATATTTTAGAAGTGGGTATATTTTAGATGCCACATTATATAGTTAATATTTTAAAAACTGTCAACTATAATGTGAAAGAATATTCTTAGTTCTCTCATCAGACTCAAAACTCACTGCCGACCGTTTGGAACCTGCTCATAGCTGACCGTCAGCACGTTTTCAGAGACTGGAGGAGAGTGCCCACGGTTGTCCCTTGGAGCAGCTGGCTCTCAGTACAACTCCCTGTGTGCCACCAGAGCTCCCCATTATTTTTGTTGGTAGTGTTTAATATAGCTTGGGTACAGGAACAGATAAGGTAAATTATTAGATTGACCCAGGGTTAGGATTTTGCTGATGGAAGAAAAAGACAAAAAATTTGAAGGTACATGCAAAATAGTACCATAATTCAGAGAAGTGCCGTTTTTTTGTTCTTCTTTATTCAGTATTTATGATTGACTTAGTTTCCTGGTCAATGAAACGTATTGCAGATGACCATTTGATATCACTGACTCAGGTACATTAACTTTCCAGTCGGTGCTAGCATTCATTTGTAATTTTGGAAAAACTCTACATTAGCCATGCCAGCATAATATGAGGCACAGAAATAACTGTGCTTCTCAAGTAGTTTCGTTGCACTGACAGTTGACATCAGTAACAAACTAGTAATACGGAGAAGTTTTAGCTATGGTTGAGGTTTCGTGGTGGTGATGTTGTGTGCTATTGAGCTGGAGCCTACTCTCCCAGTAGGTTTTCAGAGCCTGTACAGCACATGGCGGGAGATTGCCCATCTTTCTTTCTCTGAGCAGCTGGTGGATTCAAACTGTGCTTTTAGGTTGTCAATGCAATCCGTTAACAGTAGGCCACCAGAGCCCACACTTGAGTATTCTGCTTTTAGCTTATAACTTGCTCAACTGAAAATGGTAAAAACCAGCTTTCTGCATCCTCTGTGTTGGAAAATGCTAAACTTCTAAAGTCTTTGATCATTCAGAAAGAGCTGGTTAATGGGTGGTTGTTGTTGTTGATGATTGCCTTTGAATTGCGCACAACTCATGCAGCGACCCTGTGAACAAAAGGCCTGAAGCCCCTCTACAACTATTGACATTTATTAAAATTCATTTATCAAAGGGAGCTCTGATGGCCTAGTGGCAAGAAGCTGTGCTGCAATCTCAAAGGCACGCACCTCGAGGCCACCAGCTGCTCCGCAAGAGGATGGGCAGTCTCCTCCTGTGTGATTAACTGCTTCTGAAAACTTGATAGAGGGTCGGCTATGGGTCAATTCTGACCCGACAGCACACACCAACAGTTAATGGGAACACCTATAGAAATTCTCATCACTGGACCAATAGGCAACATCATAATAGATGGAGAAAGATTGAAACTGTAAAGGAATTTATTTTACTTAGATCCACAGTCATCACCCTTGGTAACAACAGTTAAGATGTCAGGGGACATATTGCACTGGGAAAGTATATAGTCAGAGACTTCTCCAAATTATTCAGGAGCAGTAATAATAGTTTTAAGATTTAAGTGTACCTGACTGAGGCCATGGTCTGTCCAATCACTTGCTGTGCATCTGAGAACTGGACAAAGAGTTAGAATGACAGAAGAAAAATGGATGCTGTTGAGTTGTGGAGTTGGAAAAGAGTGCTGAATAAACAGATATATCTCGGGGAAGGTGCAACCAGAGTGCTCCTTGGAGGCATGATGCCAAAGTGTCTCATTGTTGGAGAAGGACATCATGCCTGGAAAGGTGGAGGGTCAGCAAAAGAAAGGAAGACCTTTAATAAGATATATTGACAAAGTGACTGCAGCAATGAGCTCAAGCATGTCAGAGGTGGTGAGGATGGCACAGGTTAGGACAAGGGTTCAGCTCTGTTGTTCATAGCGTTGCTATGAGATAAGTACTCAACTTGATGGCACCTAACAACAAGTTATATGCGAAAACTGTTAGACCTGGTCTGGAACTTAGCAGGAGGGAGTTGTTCAGAGAAAGGCCCCTTGGGTAGTGCACATGGTGACTGGCTGCTAATCTCAAACTTGGTAGTTCAGACCCACCCAATATCTCTCCTACTTGGGGCAAAGGCCTCCTTCAAGGCAGTGAATAATTATAAATATTTACGTGAGCTTAAAACTTTTCTCTTAACCTAGTTTATAATTTAAATGGAAATGTTTATAAGCCAGAACTGGTTCTTGTGTTCCATCACAATGATTTCTACTCCAGTGTTAGAGTAGAACTTCTCCGTAAGGCTTTCTTGGCTATATTCTGTGCAATTTAGAGCCTCTGGAAAGCTGTTAGAGGGGCAGCTATGGGCCTGTTCCAGCTGTCATACACATAACAGTCTTCTAAGTCTTATTTACCTCAGAGCTAACAGGTTAGGTTCCATCTACCATCCTATTTATGGTAGCAGTTGAGCACTTGTGCAGGTTTTTAGGACTGGGTGGGTTTTTTTTTTGAGATTGATTTATAAAGAAGAGCTGTTGTACTCACTGACTGAGGTCTTTTATAGATCACTCCTACAGCGACAGCACAGAGATGGTGAAGATCATTGTACACACTGTGCAGAGTCAGGACCGTGTTCTCAAGGAGCTGTTTGGTCACCTGAGGTAGCCAATATACCTTTACCATGTTACTTTTGGAACTTAATGTCTGTGTGTCTGTCTGTCTGTCTCTCTCTCTCTCTTTCTCTCTCCCCCTTTCTCCCCCTCTCTCCCCCTCTCTCTCTTTCTCTGTGCCGTAGGGAGTCTGGGGTTGCTTCTGTGTGCATTGCTTTGGAGGTCAATCATTTTACTTGATGCAGACTGTGTGTTTGGGAGAATGGTGTACAGTCGTGGGAGATACGTAAGTGTCTGACGTTGATTTATTCTCTCCAGCAAGTTGTTGGGCTGTAAGCAGAAGATTATCGATCTACTCCCCAAAGTGGAAGTGGCCCTCAGTAACATCAAGGAAGCTGACAACACTGTCATGTTTATGCAGGGAAAGAGGCAGAAAGAAATATGGCATCTCCTTAAAATTGCCTGTGTAAGTAATGGTTAATAAAATTTGCTAATGTGACATGAATTTGCTATTATTCTCTGAAAAATGGATTTTTTAGCAGTGTTATCTGTGTCCTTTTAAAGACTTATGTACCTGATGTTGAGTTGATACTCATATTCTATGTGGTTTATCTGTTCAGCAATTAAAATGCAGGCCTTTATGATTACCCTTGATTATCACTCTCCTTTCCAGTTTGTTTTTGTACCCTTCCTACCCTTGACCACTGTGGTGTTTCAGTCCAAACTGGGGATCTACATGTGCCTGACTGAAACCAGCCCTTTGTTCAACTGAGTTGTAGGGGTTTTTAATTTCCCTTCCTGTAAAAGTAGAATTTAAAAGGTAGACATATCTTAAAACAAAAAAGGAATGGTTGGCTACAAGGAGAGATGAAATAAACCAGAGAAAACAGAATAGAAACTAGACTTTTTTTTTTT